AAGTAATGAATCTAGCCCCGTTCATCATTACTATACAACCGCCATTGTCAGTTTCTCAACGTATGGAGTGTAATTTCGGATCAGCTTCCGCATAACACAACGCTTAGGTCATCGTGTCATGCTCTCTAATTTTGATCGAGATCAACTGGAAGTGAGAGCAGGCCAAATCCCGGGGACAAGTTTCATTCCGCATATTTAGACTTGATCAAGACCTTGCAAGGATAGAAGTGTTATTGTCATCAAAGTGGCGGCCCGATGTTTCATGGTACCGAGGTCGGCGTTCAGGGATCACCGCTCCGAAGTATGAAAAGTCATCATAAATGCAGCAGGATATTCTAATCATATTTCACTAAACCTCGGTTTAAAATTACGGGTTTTCTGAAAGATATAATAGGTATTAAGCTCCCTTCCTAGGTTCCTTGTGGGAAAAAGTCCAATCGTTTTCGCGATGAAAACAAAAACAATGAAAGCAATTGGAGTTGCCAAATATGGCTCAGTCGACAACTTCGAGTCCCGCGACGTTCCACGACCGGGGAGCCCTACAGGAATGGACGTTCTTGTGCAGTGAGTATTCTCATTCTTTGTACCGTCACATTGATTCTGATGTCACTTAGAGTCAAGGCTTGTTCTGTGAATCCTATCGACACGAAAGTTCGCAAAGGGACTTATGATGACGCTCCAGGTAATGATCCTGCTCCCTTTGTTTCTGGACTTTTCAAGCTTATCAAATAAAGACTACTACAAGTTTGTGCCTAAGGATTTCCATATCATTGGGTTTGACGGTGCCGGAACCGTTTTGGAGGTCGGGCCACAGTGCAGAAATTTCAAACCTGGCGATGATGTTTTCTACGTGAGCTCTACTACTCGCCAAGGTAGTGCTGCAGAGTACCTTCTCGTTGATGAACGTCACTGTGCTGAGAAGCCGAAGTCGCTTGACTTCGTGGAAGCCGCTAGCATGGGCCTGACCTTCGGTACGGCATACCAGTCTCTTGTTGACAGGCTTGAGATTAAGCAGAACGAAAACATTGGTATTTTGATTGTGAGTTTTCGAATTTCCCTTTACCTAGTGCTATAATGACTATTGCTACCTGAATTGCATTTATAAACTCATAACTGACTGTCTGTACTAGATCAATGGCGGAGGTGGAGTGGGAAGCGCTGCTATTCAGATCGCTAGGAATATTTTGCAAGTTCCCGTGGTGATTGCTACCGCATCTCGACCTGAGACTATGGAATCATGCAGGAAAATGGGTGCCACCCATGTTGTGAATCATAGGGAGGATCTCGAGGCCCAGATCAAAGCCTTGAACCTCGATGTCCCAATTAGGTACGTTCCGTTCTCCCTTACTATCGTGTTCTTTACATTGAAAAAGATAATCCTAATAATTATAGGTATGTCTACGTGGTTGCAAGGACGGAGCAATATATCCACGCCCTAGGCAAAATCTGTGCCCCTTTTGCTAAAGTTTGCTCAATTGTGCAAGCTAAATTCGATCTCTATGGGACTGAATTCATGTCGAAGTCGATGACTTTTTCCTGGGATTGGCTAGGCTCGTCAGCCTATCATCGTATTAATCTAGAGAACTACCACCGAATCTTTGGGACCTTGGCCCGTTACATAGACGAGGGAAAGTTGGTACCAAACCTCAATAGACGTCTTAAGTTGAACCTTGCTGGACTGAAGGAAGCTCATCAGCTAATTGAGTCTGCAACTACTGTGGGAAAACTTGCTTTAGGGGTGGATGAGCCAGGCGAAGGGGCTCCATTTGCTTAAGGTTGGATTGCTTCGTTGAACAAGGCTTCGCAGTGGAGGTCGTTATCTGATAGCATATGCGGATATTTGCGAACTTCCGTCGAGAACAAATTACATCTTTTTGATTTGCGTATACATGCTGCTTTACTTACAAAATCTCTTGAGTAACCTGGATGGACATAGTCGTAAAGAAAACGGTGATTAACCATGTAACCGCTCTTTGTTTCTGGTATATGTATAGGTCTAAATTAAAAGGACCCCCATTCTTAGCATTTGGACCCGATCAGCTCACGCTAGGCCTGAATAGGCCTTAAGCAGTAATTACATTTCCAATGCATTATTCGGTAAAATTGCATGAATTCTTGGCAATACTCATGGTCCGAGTATCGGCGGCCATGAACCTTGGGTACTTCTATTTACTATGCAGCCCCCTAGTAAAATTAAGTCACCTTCGTACTCTACCATCGACCATGCCAAATGTCAACTGCATGGCGCTAGTCCAGAATAGGAAATAGATGCTGATTTCAAAACTCTTCTAGTAGCCAAAACCCAACCCATGAGGTAGGTTTGGATTCGCAATATTCAGCCTTTTTGTATCATATTCTAAAGCACAGATTACGGTTGATTATGAATCTTTAACCCTTATATTTTTATCTATTTTATTTGATTTGTTATGGACGTTGGGAGTTTTATATCCAGGCGGGAGTGGATAGTCAGTAATTCCCAAACGGGAAGTGGGGCCAAGAATTAATGGACCGAAATTAAGAATCTATTCTTAATATCCGTCCATACCACCCATTCTCACCCCTCACTTAACCTCTTCTTAATTGCTAATCTATTGTCAACACTACCATACTTATATATTATGTCTAATCTCTAGTATTTCCTACTATATATAATAGCATTGTGGTCAGAAATACGGTTCATGAGTATAGACGGAAATATAGAATCCATTCTTAATATCCGTCTATTTTGACCTAAATACGGAACCTATTCTTAATTTCCGTCTATAATACCCATTCTCACTATAAGCCTCGCCTCTATTTATAAGGCATCGTCTTTAAACTAACCATTGATTCTGCGCTAGGATAGACCTATATATGCTTAAAGATATATATATTAATCTCTACCTACTATCCTACAATGTTAACACCTTTTTAGCCTTTATGTCTCCCTAGAGTGGTATTACCTCTCTAGTAGACGATAAAGTATCTTTATAGTGTTTATAGCGGGTAACTAACTAGGCTGTGTGTCTGTAGTCTATCCCACGGGGGGTGCTGTAGTCAGGGCTGACTACAGGTTAGGGCTTCGTCTTAACTTTGTTACCTAAAAGTACGGGCTACCCTGACTACAGGTTCTTTTATCACCCTGACTACGGAGGTATAGTTAGCTCCGATCGGTCTCAGACTTTTATAGGTCATAGACGTATACGTGAGATATCTCCCATTTGCTTCGGAGCTTGCATAGCCGTCTAGTTATTGAGTTATACGCGTTTGAAGTATTTTGGTCTTGTACCTCCTTGTACCTTTTTGGGTGGTTGCAGTACTATAGGTTCGACGTTTACTCCGCGACCACGGGCTACATATTGCTCTAATCGGTCTATAAATTGGACACGGTCTATTTACCTATTAGATCTAGGAATTGTGAAAGTTTTATAATAATCAGACTAATAATTGTGGTGTGGTGGATGATCAAAAATAGGTGAAAACCTTGTATGCGTTGCGACCGACGGGATTTATTACCGTAATCGGATACCCACCCTTATCTATGGCAGCCCCTATTAAATAGATTACCCCGTATTCGTATCTTACACCCCGTATTTTACTCTTAGCGGCCACGTGAACAGCGGCCACGTGACTAGGAGGGTTTAGCTAGTACGTTAGGCACTATAACTAGCTAGTTCTATATACTACGAATTAAGTAAGGGGTTCATTCGATAGAGAAAAGTTAGCTAATTTCAAATATACTATTTATAAACTAGTACGTCTATTAGTAAGCGAGCTATTAGCGGTTAAACCTTACATTCCTAGTAAAAGGTAGTATAGTAGTATATTATGGTCTATCTAATATAGTAGTAGACATTGTTAGCTAGTAAGCTATAAGCTAAACCTTATTAGGATACTAGGAAACCTTATTTTATAGTAGTAAAAGTTTAGACTAATATTATAGAGATATATATCAGAGTGTAGAGATATATATAATTGAGAGTGCCACCTAAGGTCTGTCTAAAGGACGGGTTTTAACACTTTTTCGACTAATCGGGAGTAGTCTACTCGATCACTTCATAGTGTTATTATAATTATGATTTTATCATTAGATAGCCCGTACTTTTCTAAGTAATATAATGCTAAGCTTACTCCGGGGGGTCTAGTATTGTAAAGAAGAGGGGTCTAGTATTTGCAGGATAGAGCCTGTCAACTAGGTAAGACGAAGATGCCTGGGAAGCAAGTAGTATATTGGAGGAATATAGAGACTGATTCTTGGAGAACCTCTAGGTTCTCCTGGAGTGCACTATTTAATATGGGGGATTAGCGTTACGGTGAGGAAACGCTGACGTGTCGACACCTATATGATGTTGATCCTCTGGTAGTGCGAGAGATCTGTGTATGCTTCCTGAGGACTCCGTTATAATTATCCCCCCGTCTAGTACGGGTGTCCGCACCCGTGGTGAAGTCTGCAGAGCGTAGCCCATTAAAAACCTAGTGGGAAAAGGTAGCTAGTTCTTGTAAGGGAAATAGTAATTACGTAAAGACGGTAAGGCGATAGGGAAACGATAGTGTAAGGAAGGATAGTTATAGGCAGGACGATTGGGGCCTAAGGTAGGAATTTGATAGGGTTGGAAAACCTTATGATTTCCTAGTTAGGGTGCTAGGGGTTTTGTCGGCATAGGTGGTGTGCGTTGTTGTGGTAAATAAAGCGTCTTTCGACATAGTGAAACTACGTGAATAAAGCATATTTGTTGCTATTTTTGTTTGTTTAGGTTGTAGGGCTTTGTTGTGATTTCACCCCTATAGGTGTAAATCCTCTGTTGTTTACCTTTTAGTTTCCCTTTTCCCTTATTATTTTCTATAATAGCGACACGTTCTCACGTCGCTATCGTTTCTCTAGGGTTTCTCTAGATTCTGGCTGTTATATCTTTAGGTAGGTGTGATGACTATCCCTATATCTGAGTCTAACGATACGTTGCTAATCCGCTATTATTTTGCCGTCGTTTTAGTAGCGATCTAACTGCTACACGCTGATTATTATGCCTCCCCGCGGAATAGGCCGTGGTCGTGGCTGTGGTCGTGGTCGCGGTCGTGGCAAGGCCCCGGCAGCGCTAGCTCCTCCTAGTCGTTCGCCCACTCTATCTAAGGTTAAGAGTGTGATATCTAGCTCGGACGATAAGTAGGAGGAAACCTCTAGTGCACCTAAATTCTCGCTAGCAGTACGCTCGATGATCATTAGTTCCGAGACTCCTACCTCTAGCACTCCTAGTACCCCCACTCCTAGTGGACCTACTTCTCCTACTAGTCTCCGCCGTGCCCTTACCGGTGGAGTTAGGAAGAAGAACCGCCCCCTTCGCCCTATTGCCTATCTCCGATATATGGCGTGGTGTATACACTATTTCCGGACCTTCTTGTTACGCACGACTATCGGGTCGTCGCTATGTTAGAAGATTCCTGGAATATACTTGCCTAATGCTTCTCTGCTTCCAACGTCAACGATCTGTCTCTTAACTGTACCGTTGCCTAACAGGCCTTATACGGGCTGAGTCCTTTTGAGGGTATCGAGGAGCGATGCCAGATAATGCGCCGAACCAACCAATACTAGAGTATAGGTCTATTCGTAGTGTTGTCAAGTTATAATCAAGTTGTACGAGTCACCAAAGGTTCTGAATAGTAGACACAAGTAACAATGTATGATTGAACACGAAGAACTCAACTAGATATATGAATGAGTGTCCTTATATATCCTGAGTCCTTCTGTGGTAGAGTAGTAGAGAGTAGAATAGTAGATTTGGCTTGGTAAGATCTACTCTTCGACCGTCGATATTTCTACTGCTTGTATGATCACGTGGTTGCCGTTTTATTGGTTATTGCGGTATACCATGAGATGGTAAGCGGAAGGCCGAAAGTGGCCTTTTGGCGCGTAGACCCTGTCCGTCCTGTATAGGTATATATATATAGGATAAAGTCTGCTGGGTGGGTCCGCTTAGGGTAAATTATGCTTATGCTCACTAAGTATGATCACATTTCTCTTTTCCTTAAATACCTAGGGTGTCTAGAGTATAAGGTACTACACGTGATCTAATAATAGATAGATCGGTTAGCTCTCGGTGGCCTATTAGTAAGTTGCGGCCCTATAATCGATTGGTGCCTAGTAGGTCCGTAATATCACCTCCCCCTCCTAGGAGTTTCGTCCCCGAGACTTATAAATCTGCGGTCCCCCTTAGGTAAGTGGTGTGGTTTTTTCTTTTCCCAAGATAATGTGTCGTCGTTATGCCTAAACGTAAGGCTAACTTTATTTCTGATCCGTCTCCTAGACTTCCTAGCGACTTGACTAATGCTTATCACCGTTAAGCCGAATATATCGAGAACAATAGTTTCACTTCCTCAATTTCTTACGAACACTATAGTGCTGCTAGGTTGGATTGCCTAATAGATCGTTCGCGTCGCTATTCGAAATGTGCGTCGTGCACTCGTGCGGGCTGTGTGTATAAGCGTGACTTCTACACTAGCAAGGAATAGGATTTATTAAATCATGCCGAGGATAAACTTTCCTTAGAAATCGAAAAGAATGAAGATAAACTCGATTTGTTAGAACCCGAGTTAAATAGTTTGTAGTCTCGTCTTACTAAGCTGCATTAATAGGTGTTAAATAAACAAAAATAATACTAGGAGGCTATAATCCGGCAGCGTCGTCTACGGAAATAGATAGCTTTCCTAAAACAAAGGGGCTTTAAGATATCTAAGCACGATACTAAGTTGCTTTAGATTCTTAATAAAAAATAAACGTCCCTAGAGTAGGCCGCTCCTTCTACTTTTGATCTTAAGTAGCTTACTACTACTACCGAGAATCCGAATTACTTCGATCGGATAATGGCGGAGTTAGCTAACCTCCCTACGTCTTACTAGGACGGCCCGGCTTTTTCCGCTAGTGTCGCTAGTGATGGTTCTAGAGGGTTGCCTTCGCCTAGTAGTCATACTATTATACTAGCTAGTGGCAGTCCCTTAGGTTCTTAATAGGTTCCTATATATTTTCCGAGGTATCGTACCCTTTCTATTTCACTAGGTAGTGAGGTTTCCTACTAATTCGTTGTCTATCTAGGATTTCTTCGACCTTATATTCGTTTTCGCTTTCTTCTTCGATTTGCATATTAGTAGCGATTTTGGCGTTTTCTAGTGCCGGTTTGAGTAACGAGATATAAAATATAGAATAGAGTCTTTTCATACTTTCCGGTAGCTTTAAGCGATAACTAACTAGTCCCAATTTTTCTTCGATCCTAAATAGCCCTAGTCGTAGGTGGTCCAATTTGTTGCTAGGTCGCTTAGTTTTGATGTTACGGCGCAAAAGATAAACCTTTTCCCCCTTCTTTAGGTTAGGTCCCTCCTTATGTTAGCGGTCGTAGTATATTTTCATCCTTAGTCTAAGGAATTCAATATCTCTAGATAGCTATAAGTGTAGCTATCTAAGCCCGCTAGCTAGAATCCGTGATGATTCTACTATTAGCTTCTTGCCGATCGGATCTCCTAGGATCCGCGGGTGATAACCATAGTTCGCGAAGAATGGTGTTTCCCCTATAGTAGAGTGTACTACGTTATTATACGCTAGTTATGCTATTAGTAGTAGTAATACCTAGTCGTCCTACTAGTAATTTATATAATATCTCAAATACTACTTAATAGTCTGGTTCACTCTCTCTATTTGTCCGTTAGTTTATAGATGGTAGGTAGTGGAGAGTCTTAACTCAATGCCTATCTAGTCTGTAAACAATTGCTATATATTCGATATAAATAATTTGTCTCGGTCAGATATGATCTTGCTTAGTGTTCCGTGGTTCGAAAACACGTGTTATATGATTAGGCTTACTATTTGGCTAGCTTTAATGGTTTCTAAAGTCAGGATCATATAGGCGTATTTAGTGAGCCTATCGACTATAACTATGATTATATCACAATTATCCGATACTAGTAGTTTAGTGATAAAATCTATAGTGATCTATTCCTATGGTTAGGATAGTACTTCCGCTAGCTATAACTCTCTATATAGCGTATACCGTGCTAGTTTGTTTCTTTAATAGATATCATAGTCCTTAATATAGTAGCGTATCTTCCTTATTATATTTAGAAAGTAGAAGTTTCTCGTGATTTATTCTATGGTTTTCTTAACTCCTATATGCCCGTGCGTTAGTATATCGTGATATCGACGAATGACTTCGTTTCGTAGTATGGTAGGAATATATATCAATCCGTGAAGGTATACTAGTCCGTTATTATTATCGATGATCCTATTATCTTTCGGGTTTTCCTAGATCTCTTAGATAAGACGATCCTTTGCTATCGCTTCCCGAATCTATTGTGTGAATTTATCGTCCCTAAGTTCACTAGTGGCTACTAGAATTTGCTTATTATACGAGATAGTGCCGTCTTCGTTCTACTTTAATATAGCGGGTTCGGCTATCTTAGTACCAATCTTATAATCTAGTCTTCTACTTAAAGCGTCTACTTAGCTATTGTCGGTTCCTTTGTAATATTCGATTTTAAAATCATATTGTGTAAGGGTTTTAGCCTATCGCGCTTATCGTCGTGTAAGAACCTTCGTTATGGTGAAGAACGTAAGGTTCTTATAGTCGCTTTTGACCGTCACTATATATTTTGCTCCTTCTAGATATACTCTCTAGGTCTAGAACGCTAACACTATAGCTAATAGTTCCTTATCATATATATCGTAGTTAAGCTCGGCGGGAATCATCTTCCTAGACTAGAATATAATAGGTCTATATTTCCTATCTAGTCCTAGTTATATCAGTCTAGCTCCTAAAGCGTAGTCTAATACGTTAGTTTCTAGGATGATCGGTGCGTCGTAGTTAAATATAGTAATAATCGTTTTAGCGTCAAAAAGGTCCTTAAGATCCTTGAACGATTTCTCTACTACTTCGTCCTATTCAAACTTTTGATCTTTCTTCGTGAGTCGGTATAGTCCTAATGCGACTCCAGCGTATCTATCGACAATCTTTTGATAGTAGTTCGCTAATCTAAGGAATTATTGTACTTCCTTAACATTTCTTAGTGTTAGCTATTCCTTAATGCTCCTAACCTTATCTTCTTCTATTCCTAGTCCACCTAGGCTAATACGATATCTAAGAAAAGTGGTTTCTTATACGTGGAATTCGTATTTACTAAGTTTCACGGTAACCTTAGCTTCTCGAAACTTCTATAACATAAGTTTATTATATTAGATATATTCTTCAAGGGTGTCGGAGAACACTAAGACGTCGTCTAGATATATAATAACGAAGATCTCAATATATTCTCCAAAGACGAAAAAGACAAAGCGTTAGAATAACGTAGGTACGTTAGTGAGGCTAAAAGGCATAACCACGTATTCGTAGTGTCCGAATTTAGTCCTAAATGCCGTTTTCTATTCATGGCCTACTTTGATCCTAAGTCGATTATATACGTTAAGTATATCGTATTTAGTGAACCATTTCGCGGTTCTTAATCGATCTTATAGTTCGTGAATCAAAGGTAGTGGGTGTCGGTCCTTGATAGTGATCGAATTTAAATATCGGTAATCTATATATAACCGAAGACTCCTATCCTTCTTTGGTATAAAGATAATCGGGTATCCTACTAATAACTTTGACTCTTAAATATAACCTTTCTTTAGGTTCTCTACGATATACTCCTTAAGTGTTTGTGACTCTTTCTCCGATAACTAATAGATAGGTTTGAAAGTAGGTTTAGTACCCTCTATCGTGTTAATTTTATAGTCGAAAGGTCTATATTCTAGTAACACTCCTTTAGCTAGCGCCGTGAATATATCCTCGAACTCACGATACTCTTCTAGGAGTCGTGGTTCCTCGCTAGTTACGTTTAGTATTTCATACTTAACAATCATATATTATGATAGCTCGTTATTAGTCATATCTAGAGATTATTCTATAGCATCCGGGGTAACCGTCTTAGTTTGCCTATTGACCACACCTTAGGGTCTCTATAGGCCTTTCTTAGTCTTAACTTACTAAGCGCTCTAGGTACCGGCTACCTTTCCGCCTAGTCCCTTATGACGAGTTTCGAACTCCTCGTATTCTTTCTTACATATATATCGGTTAAATGTGATTCTTTCGGTTTGCTAATTGATACTTAGGTTATGCTTTCGTAGCCATAGAATACCCAATACGATGTCGTAGGTTCCTATTTCTAGAATATTAAATTTGATTAATTCTAGATACCCGTAAATAGACATAGGTAGTGTGCTACTAGTGTGCTAGATGCCTCGCGCGAGTCCTACTCTATCGAGTCTAATAACTAGTATTAGCTATACCAATAGTACTATCAGTACTTTGTGATCTATTACGAATCGTAGGTTCATAAAATTGTTAGTCGCTCCTAAGTCGATAAGCGTCTAGGCCTTCCCTATAGGAAGTATCATATATAGTTTGATATAGAATCTAGTAGTTACTACCAGCTATTCGATCTTCCGATTTTCGCGATCGTAGATCTATCGTCCGTTATACCAAACTCCTTAGTACTTAGGTTTCTATTTTAGCCTCTTTATCCACCGTAGTAGTCTAGGTTCAATGCCGTAATCTAATTTTCCTACCCTAT